TATATCTATTAAACCTGTAATCCATCCTGAACTTTCATATATCTCTTCAACCTGTAATCCATCCTGAACCTGAATATATCTCTTCAACCTGTAATCCATCCTGCACCCTAATCCATCCTGAACCTTAATATATCTATTCAACCTTTAATCCATCCTGAACCTTAATATATCTATTCAACCTGTAATCCATCCTGAACCTTAATATATCTCTTCAACCTGTAATCCATCCTGCACCTTAATATATCTTTTTTAAAAGAATTTTTTTTTGTCCCCAGCACATGATCGGGTTGTTACGATCAAATCTCGGAATTTTTTTTATTGCGAAAGTTTGGTATTTTCTGGGTTTTTATATTGATCTACCAGGGGTTGTAATCTGGCAGTACATTTATCCATCCACGCTTCATTCATACTGAAAAGAGGGTTGACAAGATTCCAGCTGCCTAAGATTCTTCTTAGGCCTGAGAATATAGAGTTCAGGAATCCTTCTGATAAACTGGAATGAGGCCCGGGTGCCATACTGATAGGAAACATCACACTAATTGCTCCCTAACATCTGTAAGCCCGGATTGGATACCCCCAGGTACAACTATAGCTGGCAACCATAGACTCTCCCTGCTTGTCCACCATTCCTCTCTTCATCATCATTCACTTGGATCACTTAAAGCTTCTTTCTTGTTGAAAGCAAGCACCCTTTCGCTGCGAGAGTTGCTGACAGCCGCCCCTCTGTCCTCCTACATCCGTCAGGTGGTCATAACTGCTGAACCAGATGTCGGCTTCAGATGTTTTTGAAACCACAGGTTTTTGTGGGAATCAAACCCGTGAGCACCAGTCTGGACACCAATCCAGTTACTGGCTGTGGCCAAGTGTGTTTAACTTCAGTGATCTAACTAAAACTGGTGTCACACACTCTCCACCCAACCCCGCAAAAATAATAATATATCTATTCAACCTCTGTAATCCGTCCTGAACCTTAATATATCTATTCAACATTTAATCCATCCTGAACCTTAATATATCTATTCAACCTGTAATTCATCCTGAACCTTAATATATCTATTCAACCTGTAATCCATCCTGAACCTTAATATATCTCTTCGACCTATAATCCATCCTGAACCTTAATATATCTATTCAACGTGTAATCCATTCTGCACCTTAATATATCTATCAAACCTGTAATCCATCCTGAACCTTGATATATCTATTCAACCTGTTATCAATCCTGAACCTTGATAAATCTATTCAACCTGTAATCCATCCTGAACCTTAATATATCTATTCAACCTCTGTAATCCATCCTGAACCTTAATATATCTATTCAACCTCTGTAATCCATCCTGAACCTTAATATATCTATTCAACCTGTAATCCATCCTGAACCTTAATATATCTTTTCAACCTGTAATCCATCCTGCACCTTAATATATCTATTAAACCTGTAATCCATCCTGAATCTTAATATGTCTATTTAACCTCTGTAATCCATCCTAAACCTTAATATATCTATTCAACCTGTATTCCATCCTGAACCTTAATATATCTATTTAACCTGTAATCCATCCTGAACCTTCATATATCTCTTCAACCTGTAATCCATCCTGAACCTTACTAAAACTATTCAACCTGTATTCCATCCTGAACCTTAATATATCTATTCAACCTGTAATCCATCCTGAACCTTAATATATCTCTTCAACCTGTAATCCATCCTGAANGTATTTCATCCTGAACCTTAATATATCTATTCAACCTGTAATCCATCCTGAACCTTAATATATCTATTCAACCTGTAATCTATCCTGAACCTTAATATATCTATTCAACCTGTAATCTATCCTGAATCTTTATACATCTATTCAACCTGTAATCCATCCTGAACCTTAATATATCTCTTCAACCTGTAATCCATCCTGAACCTTAATATATCTCTTCAACCTGTAATCTATCCTGAACCTTAATATATCTCTTCAACCTCTGTAATCCATCCTGAACCTTAATATATCTCTTCAACCTTTAATCCATCCTGAACCTTAATATATATATATTCAACCTGTATTCCATCCTGAACCTTAATATTGTTGATTTCTTGACCTTGTTAGTCAAGCTGCAGGTCACATTTTCAAAAATTGTGACACATCTTTTAAATACCCAAAACCTTAAATTGCTAAAATATTGCTTCCGTGTCTTTAAAACTACATCTCTATGAAAATTCTACTCTGTCTATGAGATTGTCTGTTTATGAAAAATCTACTTTGTCTATGAAATGTCCTGTCTATGAAATGTCTTTCTATGAAATGACCCTACACCTATCCATTCAACCTGTAATTAATCCATCCTGCTTAACGCATTCTTATTCATCTATGGGTTTCCTCCTTTTAAGTATTGCAGAGGAAAGGACAAGAAGAGGAGGATGTTAATTTTACTTTTTAAATACCAATCATACCACATAGCATGGACAAGAATCAAAGCTAAAATTTTACTGAGTCAACCAAGACAAAGCGGCAAACTTTCAAACTGTCAAAATTTATTTCATCAAATGGGAAAACATTTAACCCCCCCTTTCAGCCTTTTTTTACAAATGAACAGATCACCTGAACACCAGCCTATCCTCTTTTCTAATCTCTTCATCAATTTGACTTCACCAACTTGACATCAGGCTGCAAAGATAAGGTCTGCTGGCAGAGGGTGAGGACTGGGTGAGGACTGGTATCCTGGTAGAGAGTGAGAACTGGTATCCTGGTAGAGGGTGGTAGAGAGTGAGAACTGGTACTGTTCAGGTTCCTGTACATGATCTCCTGTATATTAATCACTAGTTTATGTACAATATTGTTCAGGTTCCTGTACATGATCTCCTGTATATTTAACACTATATCGTGTAAAGTACTCGTGTACATGATCTCCTGTATATTTAATACTGTATCGTGTAAAGTACTGTTCAGGTTCCTGTACATGATCTCCTGTATATTTAATACTGTATCGTGTAAAGTACTGTTCAGGTTTCTGTACATGATCTCCTGTATATTTAAAACAAGGTTGTATACAGTATTTGTAAAGTAATGATCAGGTTCCTGTACACGAGCTCCTGTATATTGAACGCTAGATCTTGTACACTGGTCAGTACTTTTTAGTTTGACATTTGACACTTGAACATTTACAGTACCGTTCAGGTTTCTGTACATGATCTTCTGTAAATTTGAAACGAGATTGTGTACAGTACTGTTTAAGTTTCTGTAATGATAGCCCGTATATTTAACCCTAGAACGTGTAAAGTACTGTTTAAGTTCCTGTACATGATCTCCCGTGAATTTAATGTTCAGGTTCATGTACATGATTTTCTGTATATTTAACACTTGATTTTGTACAATACTGTATATTTAAAACGTAGAATTTGTACAGTCTCAGTACAGCTGTATTCTGATGTCACAAGTGTCAACTTAGTTTTTGTGTCCGACAAAATTATTAATAATATTGATAATTTTAGAATAAAGTGCTTATCTTACAATAGAATAAGTGCAATTTTATGTGTTCTTTATTTTCTGTTTTTATTTTTTAATCTTGGAAAACTTAGTTTTCTTGTAATATTTGACACTTGTGACGTCGTGTATAATTGGTCCATTTCTCTGCCAACTATTGTACTTGATAATCTATTTGCTTGATCATGTACAGTACTTTTCAGGTTCCTGCACACGATCTCCTGTATATTTAACACAAGTTTATGTACAGTAATGTATACAGTACTGTTCAGGTTTCTGTACATGATCTCCTGTATGAAAAACACTAGTTTATGTACAATATTGTTCAGATTCCTGTTCACGATCTCCTGTATATTTAACACGAGTTCAAGTACAATATTGTTCAGGTTTCTGTACATGATCTCCTGTATATTAAACACTAGTTTATGTACAGTACTGTTCAGGTTCCTGTACATGATCTCCTGTATATTTAACACTATATCAATGATGTGTTCCTCCCTGATCCTTGTGGTCGTCATCCTCATCCCCGCAGCAACATACATCGGCAGATACCATATCATGGCTATTGTTATACTTGGAGCAACTGTTCTAGGTAAGATAGAAGTGTGAGATTACAGATTGCACAGATTGATCAAGAACGGATAATCTTTGTTGTAGCTGAGCAAGAATAGGATAGTATAGCTATACAATTATGTGAACTCATTTATCCCACACATGACCCCGATACACCAAACCATAATGGAAAAGATGTTATTGTGAACAACCTTCCAAGAACAATTATCTGTATTGTGCTATCTATGTTATCTGTGGTAAACAAATTTTTATGTGAGAATTAGAAAACTAGGGAATAGGAAGACTACTTTTAGACTCAATTCATGATTTAAAATAGTTAATTGAAGGTGAGACACAGCAATTATGCTATGTACATTGTACTCAGACCATTTCTCGTTGAAAATTGATTTTTAATCGTCTAGTGTAAATATTTGCGTTAAAACAAGATCAGATAAACTTAAATATTGCTTTAATGTCGTCTTTCTTTTTCACGGTTTTCTGGTTCTCACTGTTCTCAATAACCGACTGAACCCAACAAAACCTAAGATCGCCGGTAATAGGTAAAATATAGTTAAACTAATAAGGAAAAGGATTTTTCAATAACATATTTTCTACAAATAAAAATGATCTAATCTAGGTATTGGATTCCTGATCAGTGCAACTCTAGCAGGGTTTGGTTTAGATCCGACTAAAATTCAAACTGACAGAATAATCACTGTTTACAACACTAATGGTCTCCTAACCTCCTTCCTCAGGTTTACACAGACAGGACAAGGTAAGTGGAAAACAGTACTCGGAGCAACAACTCTGATAGGACGGATCTTCTCCTTGGTTACGATAAACCTGTTTCTTCCTCCGTCTCAGCTCCTGGTTCATCCATTCCTACGATTCTACTCAACCACACCCCGCTCACCAGCTCTGCACTACGCTATTGCTAAACAGGTAAACCAGAGGTTTATTCAGCCAGATAAGATTCGACATTTAAAACTTAATTTTCTGTCATGTCCTCCACCGCTTTCAGAAATAAGTAATTTTACTAAAATTGAAGGACATTTATTTTACAATAATTTTTATATATATAGTTTAATAAATGAAAAAGAATGCAGTCTAGGATCCTAACTCCAGTTTAGAACTGCACCATCAGAATAGAAAATGGCCAAACTTTTCTCTTTAATCTAATAGTGGAGTTATAAAAGAATATTTTGATGTAGATTATTTACTACAATATCCTAACTCTCCTCTCCTCTATCCTACTCTGTGTGGATATAGATCAGTACGGGTTCAACTACAATATTACTCAAACAACAAGGTATATTTACACCCGGAGAGATTTTTCTTCTTTTATCACCAAAGAAATTGAGTCTTTGATACACACTCTGATTTGCAACCCAATGTCATGGACCTTTTATAATTCAAACTGCTAATTATGTTAGTTTAAATAATCTAAGTTAGAAATATCAAAGGTTTACACCATCAGATTGCAAGTATATTGGAATTAGAAAATTTGAGTTTGTGGCAAAGACTAAATTCCTTTATTTCCGAAGAGTTCCAAACTAATCCTAAGATATATAATATAAAGGAATTGAGTCTTGAGATTTTCTTTTCTCTATATCTTTGTAATCAAATGCCGTAGACCTTAGATATTTCAAACTATGAATTCTGTTAGATGAAAAAATCCAAGTTTGAAATATCAAAGGTTTACACCATCAGGTGGAAAAAATATAGGTATTAGAAAATCAGAGTTTGTTAGAAAGACTCAATTCCTTTACTTAAGTATGAAACTGAAGACTGGAGATGCTTTAACCCGACTTTTTTTCTAATTTTAGTTTTTCAAACACAGCAGTTTGATTTAATAACGAAAACAAATGTTTGCGGACTTCTAAATATTTCTTGGTGTCAAACTTACAACTTGTGATTTAAATTCTGAATCCATCTTTTCCTTGATTCAAGGCCAACTGCATCCAGACTTGCCCAGATCATAATTAAAATTCGACCTCTGGATATTTGTGAAAATTCAACATGGCATAATAATTTTTCATGGAACATTATTTTGCCGATGCTATGCTAATTGACCTAGAGGAAACCGATCTATAGGGTATCCGACAAAATTATCGAGTTTTTACTTCCCGCGCGTTTTTACGGATTTAAATGGACTCCCCTTATAACTACGTCCAACACCCAGCAAACTCCACCTACCCTGCTTAACCTAATCTAACCTGCTGTATGACATAATACAATTTAGGTCGAATTCTTCTATGGTCAAATGAGCGAGTACCATTTTTTCATATTATCTGATGTTTTAAAGTTAATGTGTTAAAACCTCTTATATTTTCACATAATTTTTGGGACGACTGTATGCAGTATGATTACAGGATGGTCAAACTAAATACTAACTTTTAACCATTTTATCTTCTCTGCCGGGGCTGAAATCTTATTTGCGGAGAAACATGAAAGTGTTTACTCTTACAGTTGATATTAATAAAGTATATTAAATTATCAATAACAGAGTGAATCCATTATGAGTTTATTTATTTAAGGAATCTCCTGATCTACGCGAATATAAGCGGAGTTCCTTGTGTGTTTATAGCACTCTTTATCCTATTCAAGTTCTACAGTTCATATGATCTTTGGTCTTCTAATGGAGTTCATCTGGTTTATTTACAGGTTAATTTATATTATTTTTATTGAAAGAGAATAAAATAGGAACATAGTTGTCGTGTAGCTCAGTTTCTTAGTTGCGCTAACATAGGGTACAGCCACAATGAAACTTAAACAGATCGCTTCAAGCTAAGATACAGAGCGTCTCATATCATATTAGATTATCTCCAAGCTTTAACGCCAAAATACGCATATATTACTCGAAAAACCTATTATTTTCTGCATGCAAATTTTTATATTATACTCATACAATTTTTTTTAAATGATTAATTCTTTTAAAATTTTCTGATAAGCCCCTGAAATCTCAATTTGGAGCTCTATTTAATCCAATATGATGTGGGACACCCTGTAAATTGTAACCAGAAGAGGGGATATGGTTTTTGCTAAGTAAAAAAATTATAATGTATAGGAATGATATTGGTAGCGTGACTAGGAGACTGAGCATTTTGAAATCAAATGAATTAGGATACTGAATGTAGAATAAAAAGTCTAATATTTCAAGTGTTTGTTTAACTAACAATAATTCGTTCTCACATGTATTCCTTCTCAGGATAAAATGAATGAAAGCTCAGATCCCGAGATTGCAAACCAGACGGAATACTCTGTTCTCCAGGACTCTAGTGTAGGAGCAGATACGGAGAATATCACAACCCTGGGTGAGGGTGAAGTTGAACCTGAAGATAATGAGGTTGGTGAACCTGGTGCAGAATCCACCAAACTAGATCCTGAGGATGAGGATATGAATGAGAGTACTGAGGCTGACAGGATGACCGCTGTCAGAAAGCAGAGTAAGGTATGTGTCGAAAAAGTAGAGTTTAAGAAAAACAAAAGAATCTTACCAACTCTAAAAGTGAAAATTTTATTACTGAATTTTTCTAATTAAAGCTTCAGCGTTCTCTTCAAGTTGTAATTTGATCTGCGACGTATCTGGGATAATTTTAGATGCTCCGGGTTAGGCAGGGGGTAGGAACTAGTTCTCTTTACAGGAGAGGAAAGAAGGTAGTTTGATAATATTCTGGTGAACGGGGAATTAGTGCAACTATGAAAATATTTTGCTAACATGATTAATTAAACCGTATTAATGCTGACAACTTGGTCGAAAAACATCGATAAAATATATTTTCTGTTAAAAACAGAGTAAAAGGTTGGACAAAGATTTGTTACAAATCAAAAACATCTACCCCTATCCGATTGTGTTCATTGAATTTATTTAATAAAACCTGACACAAAATATATGTTAATGGTTTGGTAATTTACCATTTCACGGCTACCTAACTGCAGATGTTGGATGGGCCGACTATTGTCTCCGATGAAAGGGAAACGTTTGTATTACATCAGTCCTACGATACTTCGGACCTAACCGCACGTGGTTTTTCAGCAGCTTAAAGCTGCTGTTGGTCCGATGTACTGTAGGTCGGTTGCACAGGTTTCTTAAGTTGGTTGCACTCTACTAAATAATATCGAAAGAACCGACACAGAAAATTGAATGTTTTCATTGATATCAAACTTTCTATTAATATTATGTCATCAAATAGACTAAAATATAAAATTTTAAATCCCAGAGACGAGGAGGACTCGGAGGACATGTTTCTGACTAACACTGAATCTAAAATCTAAACTGTCTTCACATAGTAACATTGGTCTTGAAGGGGAGAGGTTAAAAAATATATTTCTTGGAAACAAAAGAAAATTGTTTTATGTAGGAATACATCTGTGCTTTTTAAACAGGTCCCATTTAAATTGAAGCTTTGTTCCTGTTTGGCTTTTTCCAAAATCAACCTTTTTTCTTAATAGATATCATACTAAATTTATTGCAGGATAACAGAAAACTGAACTGGAAATAGGTTTTAAAAATGCTTGAAAATGCAAAGAGTTTCGTTCAAATATGAATGGTGAATAATATTTTTTCCTCATTTTTAATAAAAGCTTTGTTTTAGCTTGGTGTTATGAGGTTTATTTTAAACATATCCCCCATTCCAATGACACTAAGTGAGAGTAAGCATCCATGAAATAGTGGTTCAATTTGAACCTGGGTCAAAAACTTTTTAAAGTTTAACAAGGCTGTGGAAGTTTTTAAATCCAAAAAAGTTTAACTTTATTAGGTTCCTTTTATTTTGAATTGGTTGAATTTGTAACATTTATTAACATCAGGTTAAAAATAAACTAAACAAAATATTTCTGTTTAGAGGATTAACTCTTAGAGTAAATTTAATCCAATATTTTATCTAGAGAAGAATATAATTGCAAATGAATGTTTAGGTTCTGCTCCGAAAACAGAAAGAGAGATTAAACCGAAGAATCCAAGGATCCTGCCTAGGAGGATGTATAGTAGATATTGCTGTAGTGGATACTAGAGGAAGATGGATGGATGTATCTGATTAAACAATATTAATACTAAACCAATCTAACTAACTATACCTAACACAACTGCCATTACTGTAAATAAGCTTTACACGCATTCTCTAAATTTAAATATATTTTCCAAAAAAACTAAATAATTTGTTTCTCAACAGAATACTTGAGGTTAATGTTTATGAACCAAGGATGAAATCTGCTAGAAGAGGAAAATGATCTGATGGACAAATATCTGAAGGAATTCGTCCTATACTCTCCATATCCTTGGACCTTGGGAGGAGCAACCTGGAGACTAGGTTTAAAGAACCTCTTCTATTCAAGTTTGTGTAGAAAATAAAATCTACAATAGTCCAGTCCCCATGATTAGTACTCACCTACAAATATTCATGTATAAGTCATTTATATTTTAATCTTTATTAAAGAATGTATATTGTATACGTATTAAAGTATTTAAAGAATTGTAAACCCTACATTGACTGAATAATTTAGACACATGTCCGCTAGGGCAATACTTTCGTTTTTCTATATTGAATTGACAATATTCCCTCATGGCTCAAATATTTAAATTATTAATAACTTGATAAAATATACACTATTAAAATTTGATTAGAACGATGAACTCTCATGTATCGGAATATATCTCTTAATAACATCAAGCTATTTTTCACTGATTCCAAATAAAAAAAAAATCTAGCTCAGTCATAGCTTCAACAATATAGTTTTTAATTTATTAGTTTACTATTGTCAACCGTTTATGGCAGTATTTAAATATTATTACGCTTAAGGTTTTCGTCTACTTAAGTTACTTTTTTATGTTTGAGAGATATAGATTATTGTCATATTTGATAGATATATTTACAGGATTTAACAACCTATTAACCTTTATTGGAAATCATAAAATTCTTTATTTTCATATTTTCTCTTCAATTTTATATTTAACAACCTCTAAACATTGCTCAATGGTATTAAAGAATATACTTTTTGTATTATATTTGATTAGATTTAAAGCTGTGAAAACTAAGATAAGGCCAACTCACCACTCTATTAGATGAATCATGTTGCTCCCAGTCCGAATATACAGAGTGGAAGGAGAACCTATGAGAGAATTTACCGGACCCGTATCCAGGTATTTCATTTCTTCCCTGTAATACTTGCTCCCACTGACATGTATCTGTGAGACCGATGGAAGGAGGAACTAGTTGACTAGGCATCACACCACCTCCTCTAGGTGCACCCTGGTACTCAATATACCCTAAACAGTCATACTCTTTCAAATCATAATTCCATTGGGAATAAAACGAGTTCTTCTTCAAATATTAAATTTCAAATATGTTTGTATGTTTGTATGTTTGTATGTGGAATGTGAAATGTGTATGTATAAATCAACATTCTAGAATAAAAATAAACCTATGTAAATCAGTTAAAAGGTTTTAAACAATTAACTTTTTGTTTTAAGATATTACCATTGTTAATAAGTTGATAAACTTCAGATGTTGTTGAATCGTTAAAATCCCCGCATATAATGACAGGACAGTATTCTCCAGCGCAGAAACTCAACCGGTCAACTTCTAGAATGTTTTAATTTCTGAACTAACCAATAACTAAGTACAGGTAAAATTAGAAAGCTGACAAAGAAGTTGAGTTCTTGCCACAAACTTGATTTTCTAATCCCTATATCTTTGCAATCCAACGTAGTAGACCTTAGATATCTCCAACTACTACTAAATGTTGGATAAAAACTAAGTTTGAAATATCAAAGGGTTACAATATCAGGTAGCACCAATATTTGGCTTGTATAATTTTAGTATATGAGAAAGACTCAATCCTGGCAGAAACAAATTCTTTGCTAGAAAATACAAGTTTTAACATGAATTTAAAAGGTCAGATACATCTATCTGACGTCACGTTTTTATTTACCATTAAGAAAGCTTCTTCAGAAGATTGTTCTCAAATGAAGGAGTTTGAGATATCGGTTAAAGTTTTAAAATCTGAATATTGTTACCAATATAACTATTAACTAACCTGCCAGGAATACACCTATCTGTGCTAGCCTGATATCCGTCCTCTTCTTGTTGAATAGAAGATGTGTAGTTCCAACAACTAGAGGAGGAATATCTGTTCTACCACGAGGGATTAGACGACAAACTACTCCAATATTATCCCTGCAGGAAATATCAAATATAAGTAAAATATAAATATTAACAGATTATTTCATTTCAAATTCTGGCGTCGCCAACCAAATATTTTTAATCTGAAAGGTATACAGAATAGTTTAGTGAAAAGCGAGAAGTGTCTGAACCGCGCAGACGTAGTTCAACCACTTCTCCTTGGGCCGGTTCAAGGTGAAAGAAGTGGTTAAACTACGTCTAACCGGTTCAACTATGTATTGATATTCATTAAATCTGGTCCAAAGAAAAGTATATATAACTTAAAACGTGGTTAAAAATACTAGGGAATTGCAGGATCTAAGTTAAAAGTTGAAGTAAAAGTACAAAAAATTCATGTTGTTCCCTTTTTTGAATTTACAGGGTTACCCACAAAGGATGAGACTGTAAAGACGACTTGAAACTCTTAAAATATAACTATTCCCAGGTTAAATTAAGTCTCTTGCCTTGAGTGAATGGCTTATATAATGATTTATATTATGAATATAAAACAACAGACATAAAGTTCTGTAAAGTCGTCTTTGAAGTCTCACCCTTTGTGGTTAATCCGGAAGGGGTTGGTAGAATATGATAATCTTATGAGGAAAAAAATGTAATAATGGAAATTCTTAAACGAGATGAAATAATCTTGATGTATTCTTTACCGAAGGTCGCAGGCCTGAGTTAAAGAATGCATCAAGCTTATTTCATCGAGTTTAAGAATTCCATTATTACATTTTTATACTCCTAAGATTATTATTATATCATATTTATGAGGTTCCATGGGCACATACCCAAGAAATTATATTAAAAAAATAATTCTGGTGAAATCCGACTATTTCAAGTTGGAACAGTTCACATTATGAAAGGTTGCAAATAAGTTTTATGCTCTTGTTCTGACTTACACTGTTTTTTATTTTTCTGATATTAAAATGTAAAAAAAAACATTTTAGAAGTAAAAATTGGTTCTTACTTTGAAATTAATGAATGTGGTGTGATTGTTTCCTTAGTTTAGTTTGTTTCCAATTTCTAATGATTTTGCTCGTTTTTTAAGTTGGAGAGAAGGTATAGTAGTGGGTTGTCTTAATCTACTGAACAATATCGTGTCTTCATTTATAGAAGAAATCATTTTCTGGATATTAGATCCCAAATCTTCCAAAAAGAGAAGATAAAAGCAGATTATCTAGTAAGAATCAGTTCGACATAAACTGATGAAGATCTTTGTCTTTTATACATGAAACAAGATTTACTGGTTTGTTTTCATTGCTATGGAGTGCTAAGACTCCATTAAAAGTGTTTCACTAATATTTCAATGATAAGTTTTTTTTGGTTTTGATTGTGGTTTCACTTCATCATCTCGAACTTTGCGAGATATGGTGACTCAGACTGAAAAGCTCTGACCATACTATTATTACAAGTATGCAGAGATTTGCAAAATCTTACCAAACTTGGTTTGCAATGAAGATGAACTAAAAAAAAATAATAAGTAGGCAGTGGGCAATAAGCTTTGAGACTCGGCAGTTTGATGAAAATGTCCAATGTAAGGCTAAAAGCATCGTCCATATTTTTGGGAAAGGTCAGAAAATGTTAATTTCCACTCTTCTGTAAGGACTAGGGTTGAGATTCAAATTGATATTTCTGAATTAAGGTATATCAATACTTCAAAAAACGAAAAAGGTAAGTGAGCATGAAAAGGTAATTGAGCATGTTTTACTAAAGTAAAAAAGGTAAGTTTGCATGTATTAATGTAAAAGAAAAAGGTAAGTGAGCATGTTATTTTAAAGTATAAAAAGGTAAGTTTGCATGTATTAATATAAAAGAAAAAGGTAAGTGAGCATGTTATTTTAAAGTATAATAAGGAAAGTTTGCATGTATTAAAATAAAAGAAAAAGGTGAGTGTGCCTTGTGCATGTTGTCAGTAGAAAATAATTAAGTTAATTATTAATTATTATTATTAACATTCAACCTAAGAATCATGATCCTCAAGGACAATGATTCTCTGAGCTCTAGGGTCAAGCTCCAGCCACTTCCCCTTGAATGCCTGGGTTATAATGGATCACATCAAGTTTGAATCCCTTAGGATCCAGTGTGTATGCCCGATATGTAAGGAGGTCTAAAAATGCTTTAAATAGCATTCCTGAACAGTACACACGTCTGTTTAAAATTTATAAAATTGTTCCTCCAGAACCGTGTAATAATGGGAATTCTTACACGATAGGTTTACTACTTTGGAACCGAACAGTTATGATATAATACAAAATTTGAAAAAACTAACCCTTAAACCTTGAAACCCCAAACATGCAAGGCAAAGAAAATTAAGCTCATGCAACAAACTCTCATTTTCAAATGCCTGTATCTTTGCAACCCAAGAACTCAATGAATTATACCTTTATATTTACAACTTTGAATTCTATTAGATTAAATAGTCTAATTAAAACATCAAAGATTTGAGTTTGTAGCAAAACTGGATTCCTTTCACGCTAGATTAAAAATTTACAAGTTCTCTTTTATTTTTTAAGAGCTATTGAGAAGAAACAAAAAAAAATTTATAATGTGTCACCAGATAAATTTGCTTTTCTCATATTGGCATACAAGGTCACATACGAGGTCACAAAGTCGTGCCAATAATTTAACATTTATTTGACCTACCCTAGTTTGAGTGGTTTGTCTTACTAGATATAAAATAGCTAAAAGAAATGTGAAAAATGTCAAATCTAAATTTATTTTATATATTTGTATAAAACAAACCTGTCCAGAACCGGGACTCTTGGTATCAAGTATTCAACCAGAGAATATTGATCTAATTTAAACATATCCAACTAATCAAACATACAAATTCTCATCAAATATCATTGTATCCGCGCTTCAACCATATCAGCAAATTTGCCTATTTGTAATTTATTAAATACTAGCTGAAGTGCCCGGCGTTGCCCGTGATTTAAAAAAAACGAATTAAAAAATAATATGAGATGGATTTCCTAAAAAAATTCAGCCAATTTGGTCCAGCTGTTTGGCCAGCTATAGCTAACATACAGAGCGTCCCATATCATATTGGATTATCTCCCCCAAGATATAACTCTGAAATCACCACATAATACTTGAAAAACCTAGTGTTTTTAGAATGAACATTTTTATAAAAGGCCTAAACAATTTTCCAAATGTTTAATTCTTTTTAAATTTTCTGACTATTTCTGAAAATCGCATAAACGCTCCGAATAATTTGGGACATCCTGTATATATATTATATATATATGAGCGAAGAGCTTTACTATTTATATGTAGATGAATATGTAGGTTTCCTTATAGAATATTGCGCAACCATCCTTCTTATCTCCTGTTCTACTCTTAAACACTGCCCTGTATCCTAGTTGCTCGAAGAAAGGAAGGTAGTGGCTTCGGAAATGATTCGGTTTCTGGAACTGTACTTCCTAATAATATTCTAGTTAAATCCTGTGAAGAGAAGGAACAACAATGAAGAAGAATAAAACCAGTTATTTCCCGAGATAAACATAAACAATAGTTTACGACAGGTTTACCCCCAACAAACAACTACAATATAAAACCTGGCATCAAACATAAACGAAAATAAATATTCTAGTTACATTTCAGAGAAAGGTTTCAGTTACAACTTTCATCATTAATTCAGAACTATATACTTTCATCATACAAATACATTGATACATTTCATACTTAATAGCATTGTTAGATGATTTTTAAATAAAACTATGATACATGGGATTATGCCACCATTTACAAAATACAAAGCTTGCTGGCCGCCTGTCATTCAAAGGTTTAAATTAAGGAGAAGAGTTTAATCTGTTTATTTACAACCCCCTTCCCCTTTAAAATCCTATATAAGCCTATAAATCTGCTTTCAACAGAGGTAATTTTCTCATAAATATCATAAAGAATGTATTCATGAATATGTTTGGAATGAACGACAGTAATTGACAATAAAAGTGTGTTATATAAGTCAACCCCTTACTACCTGCAGACAAACAATATGGGGAGAATATTGTCGAATTTCTCTTTGAATATCTCGCCAACGGTTCTCCCAAGCTAGATGGACAGGATTCATCCCTTTGTATAGTTGATGGTTCATCTCCAGAAGTTGCTGAGCTAACACGTTGTAGGAGAGGAACCTGAACCTCAAACCAGTTCCCTTATTATTCTAGGAATATAATCATAGAATAACTTTATCAAAGATATTTGTGGATCATTAGTGAAGAAATTGTCAACAACAGATATATGCACACTTTATATTTGTGTGACAGGCATCGCATAGAAAATACTAAGATACAGGATGACCCACTAAACATAACAATTAGGAGACTACTTCAAAAACGTCTTTGATCGCGATTTGATTTGACTAAATGAGATATAATAAATTGTTGCATAAATTAAATCTTTATATCTCTAAAAATGACAGAACTATTATTGATTTTTAGCCAATTTTAGTTAAATATAGTTAAATAGTTAAAAATGTCTCTCTCTACTTATCAATATAGTGTCATATTTGAATTAGCGGGACCGTAAGTTCGGCTGTCAACCTAATCTATACCTGTGATGTCATATTACTTGCTGGAATCCATTCTCGCACTTTCTCCAACCTGTTCAGTTCCCGGCCAGATTCTTCTTTTACCGACATCACACTAGTCCGAGTTTCTGTTTTAACAAAGTGTAAATGCTTGTTCCCGTCCCGGTACTTTAAATCCACTTTCTCACTTACTCTTCTGAAGAACTGATTGTAGTTTGGTGGAGGTGGATCCGGCTTGTGAGGGGGGAGAGGTGGTGGTGGTATATTATACCCAGTGCCTCGTCGCCGACTTGAGCCAGCTTTATTTACCGCTACCTCAGCTTGTGAGGAGGGCGGAAGTTGGATTTCATCCAAGTTAACACTTTTTAATTCTGTTTCTGTAAACTGGTTCCGCCGCCGTCCAGCATCACCTATCTTCTGAACTTGTGACATTTTCAAAAATTTTCGCGCGTTTTCTAGTCTTTTCTTCTTCGTGGAATGAGAGAAACTTTCTCCTGACTCCAGATACTTCCAAACTTCAAAATCAGGATCAGTCTCGCTACTGGCCTTGGCTGCACATTTTTCGTTAGGAGATTTACAAGATTTTTTTCGATTCATTGGCGATAAATAAACTATTCTAAAACTAAATAAACTTCTGGGTGAAAGGAACATGAGAACTATTGAAAAATAGATCGCCGCTGAGAAAACTTACACTACATTTCTGTTCTGAAATATTTGGGTAACAAATTATTCAAAATACTGATAAAACTGACAAGTGCTTATCTTCTCAGTCTACTTAACTCGACTATTTGTGCAATTTTAGAAAAAAAATATATGCAGAGGTCTTATTGTGTCGAGAAATTCATTTAGACAAGATTTATCCTAACATAAACATAGACTTGATCTCGATCTTTTCTTAATCTGCAGATTAATTTAATCTTTATTCTATATCCCGCATGGTAATCGTTCCCTGGTAGATTAACTAAAATGAAGAGAGTAATCATTGATCTTCAAATTAGAAGTGGTATTGAGATCAAACAATCGGTATTATTAGCATCCAACACAAAAAGATCCTAGCTCAGATAAAAAAACTTGCAAAAACGGTTGATTTTCAAAACACAAAAAATTATACAGTGCATCAGAGAGATTACAATCAGACACTTACAAAGCATAGTTTAAAAAATCAGAACGAAAATGCGGGTTAAATATTGTTTCCGTAACAATCATCTGGCTGTGATAAGAAAATCGGCTGCTAGAGGAAGATGATCGGACGGAGAAATAGTTGAAGGAAGACCTCCAAGTTTAGAGATCTCAGAGCCGGTGGGGAGAGTCCATTTTCCCAACAGTTTCAAGTACTTTTCCTTTCTTCCATCGATACTAAATTAGAGATTTATAAAAACTGTATGTTAGTGTTTTTGTTTTGTTTAAAATGCTCATTTAAAAACTGTTTGTATTTCACTTTAGTAAATTTATGTTTTTATTTTATCATGAGTACGAAAAAAACGAAGCGATATGTAGGCGTAATTATAAATTAATTTTATCACCTTTGAAAGTCCCAGTTTGCCTGCTGTGTTGAATAGAAGATATGATCCACGGATTTATATTTACCCTGGTATGCTGTAACCTCGCTCTCAGGGGGAGCAAACCCCATATAGAGATCTCTCTCCTCCCGGTATCTGTAAACAGACCGGAACCCGAACTGATGATGGAAGGAACCACTGGAGATTGTGTACTGAGTACTCCTAGAAATAATATTGGTTGATAAAGTGAAAATCTCTTAATTTAAGGGACTGTACACTGTTCACGTATTCAGACCATTGAATTACATTATTAAGTGTTTTCTTTTGACCTACCTAAAGTTTCAAAGTTACTTTCAAATCAATTATTTAAAAAACTCGCACGAAAATTGTAATCTCTCTTAAGAAAGAATGATAAATATGAAATGTTACGTTGCACGTTTCAATTTCTAATTACAGGGTTATCCACAAAAGATGAGACAGTAAAGACGACCAGAAACTCTTGAAATATGACGATCTCCGGGTTAAATTAAGTATTCTGCCTCAGATATAATAATATAATGACTTATTTAATGATTTGACAAAGAAACAGACCAGTTTACAGTCACAGTGAATCATGAATGCAAGGAAACAGGTGATAAAAATTCCGTACAATCGTCTCTGAAGTCTCATTATTTGTGGGTAAGCCTGTATATAATAAAAAACTGATGAGACGACTGAAACCGAAAATACAGAATTTCTCATCCCTCATCATAGATATTTCTCAAAAAGAAAAGAAAACTAAATTCACAAAACAAATCCTTAAAATCATGTTCTTAGTGTAAAACTTTAGTAAATATCCCGCGATGTCGTTGTTCTCACCCCAGAGTTCTGATCCAGCGAAGATTATCTGCAAGACCGAACCCAGCAGGGAATACGGACTTCGGATACTTTCCTTTACCGCAGGGTAGATCTTTATATTGGAAGTAACCTGAAACATTTATCTTTTAACAATACGTTTAGGGTTTCAGTTATGAACACAAAACTAGTGATTATATGTTGATTGAAAAAGTGTTCGATAAAAAAGGGATTAGGAGAATAATAACATAATAGCTGAAGCGCCCAGGTTGCCCATGAAATAAAAAAATCTTAAGAAAAAAAATAAAAAAACTTCAATTTATAGTTACTCCCCAGCCAAGAGCTTTATTATATAGATTTTGTTTGAGTTGACAGATGATTTTTCCAATCGGTTAAAGAGTGCCAGAACTTAAAATTAGCATAACTTTATTTGACACTTAAGAGGAAATATTTTAATATGACGTATTAAAGACTCTAGGGTGTCCTTAATTTAACTTAAAATATGACGTTGCTTTATTATTTTGACCTTTGGTATTCATTTATTCAGCCCTTTCGGTAGAAGACATGTTTAATTTTTTTTTGAGTGTGCGGATTAGTTTTAAATGGACTGTTAACGTAAATATACGTTACCCGCTATGCAAAGATGAAAAAGTCCGATTCACAACGGTACAATTGAAAACCTAATCAGATAACGTCGTTTTTGATTCTGAAAACTTTTCAATGGATTTCATAAGCAAGAAATGCGCAAACCACTTTTGAAGAGAAACCACATTCGAAAATAAACAGATATAAAAAACCTGGATACCTAGTTCATACTTGATCAGACAAAGCTTTTAAGGGTCCCATTGTAACTTGGAAATCAGGGATTGTCATTTTGCATATGGAGGGGTCTCTTGAAATTACGCTTACAATCAGTGGAATCCAATATTCATATTTTTTTAAACGCATATTCTAATTTGTATATTTTTTCATGATCACTTTAGTATGTTAAGGACAAAAATAATTAAAGATTTAGAAAAAAAAAAACTGTTTAAAACCTAACCTTTAGTTAGCAGCCTGTGCACACACAGAAAAAGAGTTTAATGCCGACCTAAAATCTTTCAAAATAACGGTTTCAAGGTTAATTAAGTCTTGCTTTATCTGTTTCTTGGTAGGTTAATTACCGGGTAAATTTTTAAGAAATTTAGTTAATTCAACAAAAAACAGTTAACTGAAGTTGGTGTTCATAATGTACGAAGAAAAAAGCTGGCAGGAGAAACAAACTAAGAATGATAACTATGTTAAAAGAACTGCGCGAGGCCTTCATTAATCAGTATTCAAGATGAGAAAACATACACTTGAAGTGGAATTAAATAAAAACTCACCTGCTAAAAAAATGGCGGCTTGAGCAAGTCTTGTTAAATGTTTTCTCTCTCCGTATTGTAAATGGACTGTTCCCACAACTAATCTTTGTGGTGTATTTAACACCTTGAACCTGCAGATAACACCAACACTGTTCCCGGAGAGAAAGGACAACCCTTCTCTTTTAAACTTGACAAGTTTATGTTCCTCACATTGGAAAATAGAACTCTTAAAAAATATTGCACAACCGTCGGTTTTTCCTCCAGTTCTCTGGGTTCCTTTGTAACTGAACCCCCGAGAGTCTAAAAACTCTAAAATATCATTGTTCACAGTTTCTGAGTCAAAAAAGTCAATTTCCTGAAAACAGATGATATCTGGGTTCAAGGATTCTATTTCACGTTTGATTCCAGTGAGCCTGTACTCCCAGGAGAGTAAAAAACTCTTCTTGTTCTTGTATAAATGTCTCTGCTTCTCTAGGCTAGTCGGAGATAGGATGTTGTATGTAAGAACACGAAACCTAACTTTACCTTCGAAAAGAACCTTTTCTCCTGAGTTGAGATCTGAACCAAACTTTGAGAACCACCAGGTTCTCATCTTGTTGTACAGTCGTAAACTTTTCTCTTCCCTTGGTCCGAACTCATCGGGGTTAAACTCTTCTTTTATCTTTACATCTATCCAGTCCGTGTTTAATTCATCTTTTACATCAGTTTCATTCGAAACTGTCTTAATGTCTTCCTTAGAATCTTTTTCAGTCTCGGGTTCAACTTTAACCCAGGCTAACCTCTCCGACAGGACTTCACCGTTCTCTGGTCTAATTTCCATTTCCCTAAACTCAGCTTTAATCATCTCGTCACAAAGCTTTCTTTTCCGACCGTTTTCTCCAATACTTCCAGGGGTAAAGTTTGTTGTCGTAAAGTAACGAATATTAGATTCTAAGGACACTTTGTTACAGGGCTCTGAACTTTTTTCTAAAAATTAAGACAAATATCAAATTAGATTTTTTTTCCAGATTTTTTTCTCACCTTTATTTTCTACAATTCCTGTGATCACAGTTCGTTGCTTTTTGAAATATTTCGCATTACTGTAGGTGACAGTAGGGACAGTAAGGGGCTCTTCCTTGACCGGAGGAGGAGTAGGTGGAGGATCAGTATCTTGAGATGAATTTAACTCCACCACCTCTTCTTCAAAATCCTCCTCTGGCTCACTGTAGTCTGTATCATCACTATCTAGGTCTATGCAATCTTCTTCAATCTTAACTAAAAATATCAATATTGCAAAAAAATTTATTAAATGTCGTTGTCTCACACCTCTTAGAAAAAAAGATATCTTTCAAAACATCGACTCAAAAATTTAATTTCTAAACTTGGAAATCTTTTTGATTTTTTAAGTTTTGACCAACATAAAGCATTAACAAATCTATATCCGGTTGTAAACATATAACGATTAGAAAATTAAAGGAAGAGGATATAGATTAGTTTTTTCATCAGGGATGTGGGGGACAGAAAATAAAAAAAAATTCGAGTAAAAATCCCAATAGATGACAGAAAAATAATTTTATTTTTTATATTCAGATTTCAAGGAAAAATGGTAAGAGAGGATTTAAACACTCGCCACAAACTCTTGTTTTCTAATTCCAATATCTCTGCAACCTGACAATGTAATACTATGGTATATCAAACCATGAATTTTGCTAGATCAAATAGTCTAAGTTTGAGATATTAAATGTTCACAACATTAGGTTGCAAAGATAAGAATTAGAAAATTAAGAGTTTGTGGCCAGTAATCTGTTTCTTTAGTATTATCCCCTAGCTGACATTAGTATTAAAACTTATTTACCTATGTTATCAGTATTCCCAGCAAAATCAATTTCCAAATCCATAATTTCTTCTTTACATCATTATCTGCAATTAACTGGGTAATAAATTCACTAGTAGGCTAAAAAGGGAGCGAAACTATAATGGAGATTTTAAATTCATGAAAAACATCATTGAATATTCTTCTCATTAAAAGACAAAAGTACATGTTGAATTTTGAGTACTTAAAAATTATTTAGAATCATAACTCATAAAAAATATCAAAATCGCAAAAATATTGAGAAAAAATAAAGCAAGAATTTTCTTTATTTGTTGTAAAATACACAGAACATTTAGAAACAGTATTTTTTTTTCTCAAGAATTTGTTTGCTAAATATATAGTTAACTTGGAACATACTAGAACAAGAAACCAGGTTTACATCTCTACACACTGGGTTTAAAAGAAGCAAAAGAAAACGGTTTTAACATCTATTCAGTTACTACGATTTAGTTGGACCAGGAGGCAGAGTCAAGGTTTACTTTGCCTTCCCCTGAGCAGCAACTGAAGCAATTGCTTTCTTGACAGTTTCTTCATCTCCCAGGAACTTCATAGAAACCACAGGCTGAAAAAAGAGGCAATCTTAAATCTTTAACATCTTATCTTAATTACTCTTATACACTCGAGTTTCAAGTAGGGGTAGGGGTTATAGCCATTTTTTTGGGTATTTGAGGAAAAATCTATATATATTTAGGCTTTAGGACAAAGATGATTTTTATATATAAATTAGGTTAGTGCAGGGGTAGAAATCTTCCGGTACTGGAGAACATGAGCCAACGTAGTGCCTCCAGGGCAAAGGCGTGGAGGCTAAGAAAGAAACCAGCGCTGCCAGAGGCAACGACCCCGCTAAAGCTATGCTATTGGAACTGCAATGGGTTAGGATGTGTTCTAAAGCAACAACAAATTGCAGAAGTGATGGAGGAAGAGCAAATAGACCTAATGTTTGTGGATGAGACCCACTTTCGTTTCGGTGCAAATAATGACTTGAGTGTGTTTAGCCCTTGGACCCAATATTACAGAGAGCGCAATTACGGAGATAAAAATGGTGGAGGAAAAATGGTCCTGGTTTCAGACAGGATTATTCACTCACCTTGGTCTCCGATGAACACAGAACCCTGGGTGGAAAATGAAAGGACATGGATCATAATCCACAACCTTCATTTAGCCATATGTTCGGTGTATATGGCGGCTGAAGTGGCCGGCAGCACGGCATATAAAGATTGGAATAGGAAGCTGTACGGGTGTATAGGAAATGAAATCTCCAGTCTGGAGCAGGATGGATATGGTTGCGTAGTTATCGGTGACTACAACGCACACATAGGGGATGCTCCGGAGGGGATACCTGGAAATAGGCCAGGAGTGAACAGTAATGGACGATTACTTCTAGAGTTTGCTACAGACTATGGGTTAGCAATACTGAATAGGGATCGGGACCTGTGTGAGGGTCTGTTCTCGCGTATCACACCAACTTCCAGCACAATTCTTGACTATGCACTAGTATCGAAGATGGTGCTGCCAGGGGTACTGAGGATGTGCGTTGATGATGATGTGGAGTTACTCGCAGGCAGTGACCACGTTGCCCTACGCCTCGATATTAACATGTCAGGTTTAAACCCAGTGCCAAAGGCGAGGCCAAACAGCCTGGTACATCTACCGAAAGATAGGGACAAATCTCTCGCAGCAAACTTGATGAATGAGCTACTTGGTAAGGTAAACTGGGCTGAATGTTCAACAGCGGAGAAGTTAGATAACCTACAAAAAATTCTGATTAGAGCTAACTGTGAGGCGTACCCGCAGCCTAACAGGCAGAAACGTAGAGTCAGACGGATACCAAGAAGCATCAAGAAACTTAACGCCAAAAAGAAAGAGGCGGACCGGAAACAGCGCAGACTATCTATCCGGCGCACACAAAAATTACGTGATGGTGAAGCCTGGATGGCAGATGACCAAACACAGCTGGATGAAGCTGTGTCGGGGTATCAGGAGATGGTCGCAGAAATCAAAAGGAGGTCAAGTCTGATAAAGCTGGACAGGAGAGCATGGATGAGAGCGCAGTTGGATACCAATAACAGACAGTTCTGGTCACTCTATGAGAGAACCCAGAAAAAGAAAGGAAAACTAACAGCACTTAAGGATGCGGACGGAAAACTGCTTACGGATATAAGGAGGATTGAGGACTTTGCACTGAACCACTTGGCGATGCAATTCTGTGGCATGCGCTCCCCAATCTTTGAATCCAGAGGAGAACAGATCATACGGCAAATAAGGGTTGCTGAATCCTCAAATTACGAAGAATGGATTCCAAAAGAGCGGGAGGAGAAAATGTACGAATCAGATGTATGTAAGCCAGCGATGGTAGCGGAAATAACCGATCTTATAAAGTCACATAAGTCGGACAGAGCGCCAGGAGTGGACGGGGTCCAAGCTGAGATGCTGAAGCATGCTAGCATGCCTTTTATCCAAACATTTACAGAAGTGATAAACGAAGTCCTGGAGTCTGGTGAAGTGCCGTCTGTGCTCTTGACCGGAAAAATGACCTTGATAGATAAGAAGACACCTTCACTGGAGGTGAGCGAGAAACGGCCACTGACGGTCCCAAACCTATTCCTTAGTGTACTGACAAAACTCCTCCATAAACGGATGGATCCTATTTGTGAAGAGGAGGGTTTTTACGGAACAGTGCAGTATGGGTTTCGGTCGGGCCGCAGCACAACAGACTGCGTATTTGCAATCCTGGCGATTATTCGAGAGGCTAAACGACAACACAGGTCGATCTCGATCGCCTTTTGTGATTTGGCAAAAGCATACGACTCAATATGCAGAGAGCTCCTGTACGTCAAATTAAGCCGGATAGGGTTTGGAGGAAGAGTATTATCATTGATACAGTCTATGTATTGTAATGACAATATACAGTTAACGTTGCCGACACGTTTGTCTGCGCCAATCTGGTTTACGAAGGGTGTGAAGCAGGGGTGCTCCCTCTCACCAATGCTCTTCGCACTCTATGTCTCAGGGTTGGGAGACGCACTGCATAATTCTAAACTGGGTTTCCGGTTGGGCGATATTGTGTTATCAGCAATATTTTTCGCAGATGACCTGGTACTGATAGCCGGGTCCCCCATACATGTAATGGACAGGTTGCATGAGATTGTGGCTTGGTTCTGCAAAGACATGTACATGAAGTTGGCGGTGTCGAAAACTTTTATCCTGACCAACTCTGTAAATCCCATTGATTGGTCGGTCGAAGAGGAAACAATTGAGGAGGTGATGTCAGCTAAATACCTAGGGGTAAACATGCAGATCCGTGGCAGAAACATGGTGGGTCAATATGAGGCGGTTATGCTGAAACGGGCAACCGGTTGTGCCATGTCAATAATGAACCTAACACGTGCCGGCCTTGACAGGGCTCTAATAGCCAAGAGACTGTGGGAGTGCTGCGCTATCCCATCAATCTTATACTGTGCTGAGGTTCTAGTCATATCTAAGAAAACAGTTGAGGAGCTGGAGCGCGTACAGAATATGGTTGGCCGCTTCATTCTCCAAGTTCCCAGCTCGTCGTCAAGAGTGCTGGCATGGATGGACGCAGGACTAGTCCCTATGCAGGACAGAATACAGGCCAGACAGGCAAACTATATCTGGACAGCCGTCAAGTACAGGAACAACCCAACCGTACACAAGATCCTGCAATTCCTTCTTACTAGACCGGAGGACCAATGGGTTCAGAACTGGATGAGAATACAACGGGACATCGGCATCATAACAGCCTATAGTACAAGAAAGGAGTTGAACGACACACTCCGAGAGCGGTCAGTTAGCCATGTTATGGCTGTAAAGTCAGAACACACCACAATGGGGGTTGTACCACAACCCGAGAGTTGGTTCAAGCTTCAAACCCACGTAACGGACTCTTTTGCAAGCAAGACTCTATGTTGTGTGAGAGCCGGCAACACTCTGCTGGGAAACCGGTTCAAAAACCGCTATGGCCGGCGGTACGACATGTGCCCACATTGCAGACTTGTGCGGAGTAAACATGCAGTGCTTCGAGAATCCCATGTTCTGTTTAACTGCCCAATTGTGTCCAGACAAAGGCGGAGCCTTGGGTTAACCCAGTACAAGGTACAGGTTCTGAAGAGGGGCCCCTGCACGGCACAAGCAGTTCTCTGATCATATCTTGGCGGAGACGGAGCAGATCAAGGACAGCTCCTGGAGCGCGGAAGAAGAATGGCTATAATCCTGGAGGCCTGGCTGGTCAAGATTCACGAGTAGTTGAAAAAGGTAATTGGGAGCTTAGTTAATAATGAAAGATCAAAAATAGTGACCCTAACGTTAGATGAAATACATAGTTGAATTTTCAGAGAGTTTCCGGAAGTGAAACTGTCTCGGGCAGTCCGCCTGGTTTTTAAGAGAGTTTCCAAATGGAAGCTGTCTTGGGCAGATCGCCTAGTAATCAGAGAGTCTCCAGAAATGGAGCTGTCTTGGGCGGATCGCCTAGTAATTGGAGAGTCTCCAGAAATGGAGCTGTCTTGGGCGGATCGCCTAGTAATTGGAGAGTCTCCAGTCTGGAGCTGTCCTGGGCAGACCGCCTAGAATAAGTCTTCTCCCTAGGGTGTAAACCCCGTGGACACGTTGTTTCAACGGTCAGGAGCGCCGACCCCTATTTCATTGAATGATGGGTTGTCCTTTAATAATAATAATAATAATAATGTGTTGTATCTGTTAAATATCTAAATTATCTGTCCTTTATATTTTTTACACTGCATCTGCAACACTATAGTTTTATGAGTGGCGAATAAAGCAGATCCTATCCAGCGAATCCAGCAAGTAGGACAATATTCAAAAATCCGTTTTAAAAGGGACTGTAAGCGTATTTGCGAGTGACCCTCCTGGCTAAGATGACAATTTACAATGCCCAATTCTCCACGGTACCCATAAAATATTTAAATGATCAAGTATTTAATCTTAACTGATCAAGTTTTCAATCTTAACTGATTATTTTCAATTGCGGTTCTCTACATTAGTGACTTTCCCATTTCTACTCCAGAAAAACATACAGGAATTATCTAAAAATAAAAACTTTTTAACCTAGCAAAAGGACATACTTTTCCATGTTACCGTGTTGTGAATTGTCCATTGCAATCTTTGCAAAGAGGGTTACTTGAAATTACTTCCCATTAATAAATCATTTTAGCAGTGATGTTTTAAACTGAAATGACGTAAAAAAAATAATTTAGGATTACGAGGGTGCTACCCTGATGGGATGTGAGCTGAATCCTAAGATCGTGTATGTAGAGTTCACCGCCGTTGTCCGCCGTCAGAAGGAGATCTTGAAGAAGTTGGTGGAGAGAAAACAGGCGGAGATAAGGAAGGTTCATTCGGGACTAACCTGCTTCAGGTAGTTATATTCAATATGCATTCTGTTGGTTCGCTTTCGGATCATTTTTTTGCTTATATTTTTTTTAAAACTTTCATTATGCCAAATTTTGATCCTTACAGAAACAATAGGCAAACACGATTCTAAAACGAACGTGTTATTACGATTGTTTTTCATTTTTTTTTTGTAATTACAGCGATGATGGCCTTATAACAGTAATTATTTTCTAATTAAAGAAAATTTAAATGGTGTAGATAAACATTAGAGCTGTCAGTCGGTCGGGAAGAGAAAATGGGGTGTTAAATAATGTGAATTGCTGAGGATGCGTTTCATTCTGTTTAACTGTTTAATGATCAGGGACGGAGTAACTGAGATTCCAGTAGAGAGTATCCCAGGGATCCTTGAGACAGGATACACTCCACCTCAGGCTAAAAATACAAGGTAAATATATCCTAATATTCCAGTAGAGAGTATCCTAGGTATCCATGAGACAGGAAACACTCCACCTCAAGCTAAAAATACAAGGTATATATAATATATATCCTAATATTCCAGTAGAGAGTATCTTAGGTATCCTTGAGACAGGATACACTCCACCTCAAGCTAAAAATATAAAGGTATATATATATCCTAATATTCCAGTAGAGAGTATCCTAGGTATCCTGGAGACAGGATACACTCCACCTCGAGCTAAAACTATAAAGGTATATATATTCTAATATTCCGGTATCCCAGGTATCCATGAGACAGGATACACTCCACCTCAAGCTAAAACTATAAAGGTATATATATCCTAATATTCCGGTATCCCAGGTATCCATGAGACAGGATACACTCCACCTCACACCATAACTAAAGGTTTAAAAAAAAAAAAAAAACGTTTTGGTTAATACCTTCGGTCAGAATAAAGTTTTGCATAATGTTATGACAGTAAACTTGTCTAGCATACAACTTCAAATAGGATTTGTGTAACCTCTGAAAAGTCTAAAACTTTAAATGTTTAAAAACGTACCTGTAAACGACGCCCATCAGTCTATCCTATTAATTAAATCTGTGAGTCATGATGTTATGATTGTTTTCGATTGAAGTTATTGTAGATAATCGAAACTTGCTTCTAAATTATTATTATTGGTTCATTCTCATCAGTGCTTAATCATCATTGCTTAATCATTAGTGCTTGATCATTAGCATGTGCATTTCTTATCATTTTCCTCGCATTGCAGGGAGTACTCTGGAATTTATTCTCAGGTATATTTAGACACCAATGCTGTATTAAGTCCATGGAAAAGGTGCATTGGTCAACAAAACCTGTTGAGTTCAACAATCAACAGATTATTAAAAACGTCAAAATAATCGAATTTGATTTTTATGCATTAAAATAAAATCTTTTTAGGTCGAGTGAAGACAAGATGGACCAGGAGACCCTGTACAACACCCTCAAGGTGATTCTCCATGCTTGCAAGACCTTCCAGTATGCCTGGCCGTTCCTTAACCCTGTTGATAGAAAGGTACATAGCCAGCCAACAACAACTAGATAATATCGGTAAAAGACCGCCTCCTTTTTCCAATAAAATGTTTTTCGGAACTTTATATTGTATTTTTCGAGAAAATTAAATGCAGATTGCTGACTTTTTACTTCGCACATTTCTTGGGGTTTTTCAAACTGGTTTTCTAATTTGTTTACTACAGGCTGTTCCTGACTACTACGACCACATCAAGTTCCCGATGGATATGAAGTCGATGGGTGAACGGTTGAAGGCCAACTACTATGTGAACAGAAGGCTCTTCATCGCAGATATGAAGAGAATGATCACCAACTGTAAGGTAGAAATGTTTTTTGGCCTCCATTATTTTTATTTTGATGATCTAAGCCGATATTATCTCCTTAATCTTAAGATGGGGAATGGGGATCTTGAGATCTTCACTCGCATAGATTGTATTGGTTGATTGATTGATTTATGTATTGATTGAGTTACCTTCTTATTTGGTGATGGATTGATTGATTGATTTATTTATATTTTGGTTTTTGATCAGGCATACAATTCCCCTGAAACAGAATACTTCAACTGTGCTACACACCTGGAGAAGTTTTTCTTCACAAAACTACGAGATCATGCGCTGCTATAGATAAACACCTGTTAATGTACGATGTATAATGTACAGAGATTTTTCTTCAAAACTTCGAGATCATGCACTGTTTAGGCCACCACTAGTAGTGTACGATAAACATAGTTTTCTAAACAAAGCTACGAGAACATTCTTTGCTTTAGTTTAACACCAGCACATTTTACAATTTTTACAGTGTAAATTGTAAATTAATGTAAAAAACGTTATGTGCATTGCAAGTTAGAAGTTGTAAACTGTACATTGGACATTCATGCAGTTCTTGGGATCCATTTCATTTTAACTCGGATCGGAATCTGGATGCAGCTATTAAATATTTTTTTTAATGATGCTAATTTCTTTTCCAAGAAATATTATACCGGAAATTTTTGTGTTTGCAATATATTATGCGGAAACTTGATTTACTATTAAATGATTTTTTAGGGTTTAGTTGTTGACACTAAAATGTGTAATATGAGAAAAAAAAATTTAAAAAATATTTTTGGTTGACATTTTGCTGCTTGGATCCGGATCTGTATCCAATAAACTAAAATGTTCAATGGATTCTAAGCCCTGGTGCAAAGTATATCCTCTGATGTTAATACCTTATGAGAAGTAAATGTACAATGTACAGTTATTTGTAGCTTCTCTGTAATTATTTTACTATTTGTAAAACTTTGTTCAACGCTTTTGTACATCATTCATGTTCTTTTATTTCTTCCTAGTTCACGAAATTACTTTATTTTTTTTGGGGAATAGTTAATGTTTAATTCACTTTAAGTAGATAATTTTCACGCGTTTGATTTTAATTAAAGAAGATTAGACATGTTCTACATGTTTAATTTTTGTCAACATATGTACTTGGACGTCTTATTCAGTAGACATTTCATACAAGTTTAATCTTAATTTATCTTAAAGGGACTGTAAGCGTAATTTCAAATGACCCTCCACGAAAAATTGACAATCTTATTTACAGTTCTACCGGCCTTAAAAGCTTTGTCTGATCAAGCATGAAATAGACAAAACTCATGATTTTTAATTTTAATTTCTCTGCAAAAGTGGCTTGCGCATTTTTACTGCACTGCAGGAGAACGTACATTGAATTTTATGAAAA